GAGAGAGAGAGAGACTCAGGCACGGCGTTGACGCAAAATTTCGCGGCGTGAGCACGCCGCAACAATCGGAAACTGGGTGCCACCGCGGCTGGAGCAACAGCAGCAGCAGCAGCAGCAGCAGAAACGGCCGTAACAATCGGCATCGCTGGGAACGAATGAAACTGGCGAGTACCCCGCACCACGGGGTAACGCGATCAATATTCCGTATGCGAGTGCACACTTGCCCCGAAGCACGTGTACGGCGGCGGCGTTTGTTTTCTGCTGTGCCCCTGGAGCTTGCGTGCGTGGTTACTCTCGCATCGTTGAAGGAATATCCTTTCGTGTGAACTCTCTCCTCTAGACAGTCTAAAGGCTGCAGAAACAAGAGGAAGCGAACGGGACTTCCTCTCTCCCTTTTTCTTTTCTTCTTCTTGAAAGGATACGAGGTCACCTCGGACTGCCGGAAAGTTTTTTTATACATTCGCCACTTGCGATGTACTTAATTATATTAAAATTGCTAACACGAAAATTTCGTTCAATGCTAAATATTGACTTAGTTGCAAAATCAGTGTGCTCTGATGTTTGAGAGTGGATGGATCCGTTATCGCTAATATATTATAAGATAAAGACAAGATATGAGAAAAAGCAATTTCAAAAAATTCCCTAAGAATTTTCTAATTTTTTCAAGGCGCAAATTCCCTAAAAATTCCAGGTTTTCCAGACAGTAGAAATCACGTAATATTTCCAGCCGGTTTCTCCCCTCCCCCTCCTCCCCGCTTCATTTTATCTAAAGTTAATTTTAATATTATACAGTTATCTGAATGGGGGGATGTTAGATGCAGCTCCGAAACAAAGTGGAAGTTACGGCGATATTATTCTGAGGCTGCTATTTATATTATCCCGAGAATGAAGGCTCGTAACGTACGCCTTATCGCCCACGGGGCTGCCATTCAATTAGATTGCGCCGACGAAGATCGGAGCGCAAGGCTAAGCCGGAGACTTCTCGCATGAAGCTCTCGTCGTGGCATGAACGGCATGAACGGCGAATAGGTGCGCCACGGCACGTGCGCAGGAGCAGAAATCCGCCGGAAATCCGATCGATTCGTGTTGCGCGCGAGAAAGTTGGTGCCGAGCGAGAAGACGGACGCGCGAGTGCAATCGCGAGGACGGGAGGCCTCGAGAGGCGGCGACTCGAGTGATCGAACGGCAGGGTAAGAACCCAGGAGGGATCTCTTGACCCCGATCGTACATCCGCGGCGAGGATGTAGGAGACCTCCGTGATAAGACCTCCGCCTCGGCAAATTTCCTCGTGCGATCGAAACCTGACCTTGGCTGCAATCTTGCTAGCGACGCACCCGGCTCTTTACGCTAATCCCCTTTAATCACCCAATTTACGCTAATCAAAATTTTTAGCGAACTCTTCACGCGCGTTCGAGAGAGAGAGAGAGAGAGAGAGAGAGAGAGAGAGAGAGAGAGAGAGAGAG